TAGTATTTTAGATTAAAATGACCTGCATTCCCCGGTTTTATTGTCTGCTATTTACTTTTCATGTACTAAAACTTTCAAATGGTTTTGGATGTTAGACAAGCGATGGTAAAATGCATATTTTCTCTTGCCTTGCGACTGCCAGTTTAAAATTGTGTTAAAACTTTCAGACATGTGTGGATATGAGTCTTGTATTGAAATGTGTTGGAAGAGCGTTCGCAGCTTTACGTTCTTGAAGTCAAGGTACCGAGCGAGCGCAAACGAGCGTTACCTTGGTTTCTAGAACTTGGAAAATTATTTGCTGCCTTTATGCACCAATCAAATTCTGTTATTCCACCTCTATTTCGCTGTCACTCAAACTGGGGTTGTTGAATTTTGAGTCCAAAGCGCGTGCAATGTATTACTTTAATGAGGTACTTTATTCAGTTTACGAAGTTCAATAAGACTCAGTCTTATGCCAAACTTTAATCTTCAAGTTTCAACCAACGAAATGAAACTACAAGCTCGGAATAACCCAGTCCTAGCGTTATCACTGTCTGAAAATGTTACGGTAAATGGGTAACAAGATCATGCTAAAAGTGTGACAATGTTACGTTACTGACTAGGATACCCGAAGAAATTGACTCATATTTTTTTCCAAGTATGCGTCACCCCAACATGCAGATGAAAAACGTAAAATTTCTTCATTGAAGTAATGATAGGATATTCATGATTTTATAACTATTAATTTGAAAAAACAAAGTTAAACGTTTCACGGAATAATATCAAATGTGAAATTTATTTTCTGTAGTTATTCTGAATTGACGTCATTTGTTGAAGGTTTTTGATTCATTCGCAGTCATACAGTATGAGGTATCTTACTTTTGTGACTGTTGTTTTTATTAGTTGTTGAACAAAGAAAAGTCCTTTTACTTGTTATAAAAGCCCCATGTGTATGGCGGTATCGAAAGGACTTTAGGACTCGTAATAGAAGAAGAAATGTTGTATTTTTTCACGTAATGTTAAAATGGAATTTATTTCATAAATATCAACTTTTATCACTTTATTGAATCGATTTTAGTTTTTTTTCAACTTTATTGTAAAATAACAACAGCAAATCGGTTGTAAATTCGTGCTTTTGATAATGAAGAGAGCTGTGCAGATTCGAAAAGAAGAAGCTGGAAAACAGATCTCTGTTTTGGGTTCTATATAGTTTTTTCTAATTTTAGATTTGTTGGTATCATCAATTTTCGATTGTTACCGTCAATAGCGTATTTTGTTCCTTTTTAAAACAAAACAGGCATAAAGCGCGCAATACTAATCATCTTTTCTGGACTAAAATTTTTTTGTTTCAGTTGTCCAATACTATGGCTTCACAGAATCATAATGTTTATGATCCGCAGCAACAAGTTGGCTACGCAGGATATCCACAACAACCAGGTGGTTTCGCAGGATATCCACAACAACCAGGTGGTTTCGCAGGATACCCGCAACAACCAGTCGGTTTCGCAGGATACCCACAACAACAGGGTGCTTATGGAGGTCAACAACCCTATCCCCCAGCATCCGGTACATTATTCGCTATTCCTTTTAGCATTTTACTAAAATCATCCCTAAAAATGTATTAATAATCGAAAAGTACAAATTAACGACGGATATTCATCAATTTTAGCTGCATATTCCTTTTTGTAAAACTGTTTTTGAATGACTGACCGAGCTTAGACTTCTTATTGAATTTTTTCCGTCTTTCAACAAAAAATGTATGTTTCTGCTTTGAGAAACATTAGTTAAGATGATCATTAATTTCGATAAATTTAAGTTTTTCCAATATTAATAAATTAACTGTCTATATATTAAATTACACATATATTTGCCTCTCTCACAGCTTCAATCACTGCGCAAATGTTTTTAAGGACTATGCAGTCGATGAATATTCGTCGTTAATTTGTATTAAATTTGTTTTTGTTTTTGTTTGAGGTAAAAATTCACAACTTTATTCGGATCAAGGGCCCTATGGAGAGCAGCAGTCATATGGGGATGCTGGTGCACCACAAATACCATTTATACCGCCTGTTCCAAAACCCTTTACTGCTGTATCACAACCAAAAGGTATGTTGGATAAGGTTTTTGAGATATTGGTTAAGACGAGGTTGTGATAACTCGTTGTTAAAGCTTGGTCCTCTCCATCTCTCTATTAGATCCTGACTCGGACTCAATAAAAGGTAAGTTTTCGAAAAAGCGAACAAGACAAGTAGCTCTTAACAAGTATTAATATAAAGCTCATTTGTATTCGGTTTGAGTCCGATTCACTTAAACACAAAAGAAAAGAAAGAGTTGTTTTTTGTTAAAGAAGGATTTTGCTTTCATTATTAAGGGCCCCCTCCCTCGGAAATTATCTCCGACACCGTACATTCGATCTTGACGAAACTTTCCATAAATGTTAGGCACAATGAGTTACGGGAATGAAAAATTTTTTTTGTCTCTAAGTCTTACGGTTTAGGAGTTTTCCAGAGATCAAGGTCCAAAAAAGACCCTGAAGTGCGTCCCAAGATTTTTTAATATACTTCAAGTTGGAGAGTTCGAGTTTGTTTTATTTTAAACTAGACGTCTAACTACATGGACTGACCGGCGCCGATTTTTCAATTAAGCCTTTATTAGTTTTCTAGGCAACCAACAACCTCCAAAACCCGAAAAAGCCTTTTGGATTTTCTAAAACTCCTCAGTTTGACAAAAAACTAAGACCTAATTCAAAAATCGACGCCGGTCAGTCCATGTAGTTCCTTTTCCTCTCTTAAACAAAAAAAGAATGAACTCTCTACGACAAACCGCTATTAAAAATCTTGCGACGCACTCCAGGTGTAACTCTTATATAGAGAAAAAGGTATATTAAATGCTGTATGAAATACTCGATTTTATGACTTCTAGGAAAATGCCTGTAACTTTTTGATGCAAGGTCATACAGAGTTGTGCGAGGTCTTATTTTGATCAGAAACGTTTGCTCTACAAAACTGTGTGTTCAGAAAAATTTTGATTGCATAAGTATCCAGGAAAAAACTATTATTTGAAGACCCGATTTTTCGAGGCGCTTAGAAAACTTGCTTGAAATCCCCGAGAAAACCGGATGTTTTGACCGAAAATCACCATTTCTGAGGGGGATCCTTAATAGTGGCTAGCGCCTATGCTAGAGTATTTATCCAAAAGTGCTGCACTGAATTTCGAGAAAGATGTTGAGCGTGTTCTATGTTTCTCGTTTCGAGAAATTTTTAACTACGTCAATCCCTGGTGATGCGTTCTGCTGGACACATGAGGATTGCTGTATATTCTGAAGCATGCCCAACTTTTTCTGGTGTGTCTCACTCCAAGCCTGTACTCTTTCACAGGCGAGTTCGCCGGTGATAGAGATAACTCGGCTGAGTGTAAGATAGTCTAGATCAAGACTAATCAGCGATTTAAGATTATTCATCAGTCGATTTCAAGAATATTAAGTTGAGTTTCAGTTTATGGATTCGTAACTGAGACTTGCCATAAAAGGGCACATTGTTGGTAACGTAAGACTCATATCGCTGCCGAATTATCTTAACGCCCTTTTTTGACTGCAAAAAATGCTCATATTTTTATTTGCTCTTTAATTGAAAATTCATTTTGAAATGTGGTGGAAACTATTTTGTATATTATTCTTCACATCTTATTTAAAAAAAGAATTTAATTGTTTTATTTTACCAAAACCAAAAAGTAACCTAACTAGGAACACTTTTCTTATTTAAATCAAAATGATTATTTCTCATATTTAAAGGAAATGTGGACATTTTTTATTGGACTTCTGTTTCGTAACTTTAGCTATGTTTCGAGTGGAAGTCAGAGAACTCAGTGATCTTCATTTAAATTTGAACATAATCTTGTAAGAATAAGTTGGCTTCATCTTGCACTGAAAGTAAACATCGCTAGAAAAATGTATAACACAGCAAAGTATTTTCACAGTATGAATCTTCTTAGTGATACCCATGCTTGTTGTAAATGTGTTTGAATATTTTTCTTCAAACTTTGTTTTCGTCTACCATATTTACCAATAGTGTAAAGAACTAAACACTATTAACCTTAAAATCTTTAGTGGTAAATATAATTAGTCAGTATAAAAAAAGTTAATGTTGAAAGAAAACGTGTTTATAATATAGTCTTAGTTTCATCAGATATCATATATTCAAAAGTCTTGTGTTTTTGCGCCAAATAATTATTAAGCTTATATCAAAATTTCCCACAGATTTATAAATGATTCAAAATAATTAACCCTTGTACTCCCAAGCCTATTTTAGACACAACAAATAGAATGCATTCATAGAATATATTTCATACTTCGATCCATGCAACAAAAAAATGTCACCTCATTTTCTTGTTTTTTGAGAACAGGGTCTAAATAGACCCTAGCTGATAGTATAAGGGTTAAGAAGGAAGTCGCAGAAAAATCCAAAGATCTGAGGAGGGTTAGTGCCATCAGCAGAATCTTTTTCCAGAATAAAAGATCATCTTTCAATTTCAGACTTACCAGACAGAATAGAAAGAAAATCTTGTAGTTTTCTAATCCAAGAGGAATATTATTATGTTGACAGACATTATACGTTTTTGCAGGCAAATTTGTTTTTTTCTTGTTTGATCACATTTTTTTTGCAAACTGTGAGCCGCGTGATCTAGAGAGCTACGCAATGTAGAAAAACTCTGGAAACGAAAGGATATTCTCTTTGTAGTGCAGATTGATAGTTGCATGTTCTTTTTTTCAAACAAAAGTTTAGATTAGACAACGTAAGCTCCATACGTGGAAGAAAAATGTGTTTTGGACTTACAAACTTTTCATATTTATAAGAGTTGATTGTCCGGCGCCAATTGTTCTTGAGGGGAAATATAATCCTCTCTCTCTTTTCCTTGGATTCTTAAAGTCTATGTGATTGCTATTAAACATGAGTCATTGTTATTTCTAACCTCTACGCTCACTAAGATAAAAACTAGTTATGGAACAATAATTAGAATGCAATGTCTGTCGACATCGTAAGTTGTACGTAGCGCAATTGCAATCTAGTTTATTCTATGTTTTATTCAATATTTTATTAGAATCAATTTCATTTCAGATGATGAACAAGGTAATGCCGATTGGGGTAATTTTAATGGTCTTGAAAGTAAAGAAATTCGACGCGTATTTATACGAAAGGTATTATCAACATAGATGTCGTTTACAATCTTCTGAAGATATATTTTTGTTATTTTTAGGTTTATCTTATCCTTATGATTCAACTTTCGGTTACATTTGGATTTATTGCGCTATGTCATTTTACGTAAGTGTTATACTTTTAGTCTGTAAAATAGAATAAAAATATAAAATTTTATTATCAACCATCAATTTTAGAGAAGATATTAAAACTTATGTTAAATCAGCGAATGGTCGATGGGCATATTGGGCAAGTTAGTAAGTAACATGATTCATGTATTAACATACATAGTGACTCTTTAATGAAGTTATAATATCTTAATATTTTTAGTATTGTTTTTTTTGTTACATATATAACGCTGGCATGTTGCCGAAGTGTTGGCCGAAGATTTCCATTAAATTTAGTTTTATTATCGTTGTTGGTATGTGACATGAGTCTTGAAAATTATAATCTATTAAAAAAAAATAATTAATTTTTCATTATTTTAGACCTTATCTATGTCATATATGGTATGTTATAAATTAGAACGTTCAATCTCTTTTAAATATATTAATTTTTTATTAAAAGATGGGCATGATATCAGCATTTTATAGAATTGATTCTGTTTTAATTGCTGTTGGAATAACAGCAGTTGTTTGCCTTGCCGTTACACTATTTTCATTTCAAACAAAATATGATTTTACAAGTTGTGTAAGTTATTCAGTAATCATTTTTTATTAGAAAAAGTCAATATGATCTGTTATTAATTCATACTATTTTTTTTAATATTTTAGATGGGAGTCCTTTTTGTTGTATCAATAGCATTAATGGGTTTTGGAATTGTTTGCATATTTACACGTTCACAAGTAAGTTACTGTCATAGTACAATTATTGACAAAGTTAAAAACAAGTCAGAGAACTGATCGGTAGTATTACAAAAAATTTGTTGTTTACACATCATTTTCTTTATTTTAGATCCTATACACTGTCTATGCTGGAGCTGGTGCAGTGATTTTCTCAATTGTATGTATTTTTTTATATAAAACATTACATTTGAATAATTTTTTTTTTCTTTACTTTTAGTTCTTAGCCGTTGATACACAATTAATTATGGGTATGATCTTAATAGTGATCTAGAATAAAAGAAGATTAATTTGTTTGTTTAGGTGGAAAACGTCATGAAATCAGTGCTGAGGATCATATATTTGCCTCAATAATGCTCTATTTAGATATAATCTATATCTTCATGTTTCTTTTATCGCTTTTCGGAAAACGAGAATAATCATCAACAATCAATTACCACACATCTAAAACAAGAATTCCTGATCAATCAAAAACAAATGTACGTTAAATCATCGTTATTTTATGTATACAAACGCTCTCACATATTTGTTTTTGTACAGTTTCTTTCATTATTTATGTCAATTTTATGAAAACAAAAACATTGTATTTATTTAGTACTTTTTGATGTTCATAGGACTTAGAGAGACGAAACAACAATTTTATTATTATGATCAGAATGAGAATAAATGTAAACGAAATTTTTTTTTACTATCTAATGTGAAAATAAAAAGTATAACATAGAAAAAGGTCTTAGAATTAATTCAAAATAAAATATTTTGTAATAGTTTTATGATGCTCCTTTCGTCGTTTTCTACTTTTTGCACATTAAAAGTCAACCGATCGATCTCGTCCCCTCTGTTTTTGCATGTTTCGCTTCTTTCTCTGCTTTGTTTGGTTTATTGTATATATTTTCTTTCTTTTTAACATTTCTCTAATCAAAACGAAAAGATTTTGATGGCAACGGCACTGTAAGGATGTTTGTCTAGTCAAAATTCTGCTTTCTTTCATTCTTTTTCATTTATTTTTTTGTTTTCAAACAATCTCTGGTTTATATTATTATTATTATTATTATTATTTTATAATCAAGCTATAAGAGTTTTTAAAAGTTTGCTGTTGCCGCAAGTGTTTATGTTGTTTGTCTTGTTTAATTTTTATTTTTTATCTCATATGACTTAACCCTTTACTCCTCACGGGTCACTGGAGTGGACTATTTGTAAGAACGTAACAGAAAAAAACGATACAAAACCTTTCCTAATGTTAATTGTTCTAGCCTCCACAAACTATCAATTGTTTAAAAACAATTTCTCACATTGTCCTGTCTTCGAGATATAAGACATAAAAAAATCGAATTCTAACATCTCTGCTAGAATTGCTATGGGAGTAAAGGGTTAATGCGATGAGACGTACGCAGAAAAAAACATGTTTGTATTAACTGTTTAGTGATTTTATTGATGGTTTTTCGAAAGTAAAAGACTTTTATGTACAATGAAATACAAAGCTGTTTTAAAAACGAAAACAAATCCGATCTTTTTTGTTATAGTAAATGAACACTCGTTCTGCTAATCACAACAGATTATGATTTATATTTCTGAAGAACAAATTTGTCGCTCTGTGTTTATAATTATATATTGAAAAAAAACTTTCTTTTGATTTATAACGTGAGAATATGTGATGCATCGATCATACGATAATCTCTGTCAGACAATTCAAAATAATAATTGTAAAAAGTAATAATGCTCAAATAAATTATACTTTTCGTAGAGTTCATTCTACTATAGTCTTGACACACAAAGAATATTTCCTGTTGGCTAAGTATTCAACTCAGTTTTCGTTGTTCTAGAATTTTAAATATAGAAATATCTCCAATAATACTCGCGTAAATAAGTCAATCATTCATGGTACATTATTTCTTTTTATTTCACTGAAAATAAATCTTTAGTAATAAAAATTCTTTTTTTCGTTGTCCTCCAATAGTGTTTTAGAATTTTTCAGTTTTTCTAGAATAATCGATGATACTGGAAATTAAAGTCATTTAATGATATTTGAATAATCAAGTAGTGCTATGGCAATCTAATCTGAGAATAATTACGTTTTTCTATTTTAATTCATCTACTAATAATTTGTACCGCTTTTAAGACAAAACAAATCATTGTTAAGCTATGATATTAAGCATTTGTATTTGCACTGGTTACATAGACAACAGCGAGTTTTACCTAGGCATAAATTTCTCTTACATAAGGAGATGTCACTTGTAGGCATGCACCAACCCGATAGTTCGGTGACCGAACATGTTTGGTTACTGAATGTGTACGGCCTAGAAATTTCATGCGACCGAACGTGTTCGAATGAAGACTGCAAATATGATAGTTCATATTTTTCTCATCGGAGATATCGGCGCTGTGTTAAGAAACTATTAGGACAAAGCACCATAAACCTTATAAAGATACATTCAAATTAGGACTTCAACTTTCTGTGTACTATTGTTGTACAGTGAGGAAAAGCATTTTTGCATGAAAACAAAGTAAATCAATCTGCTAGAGAGATCACATCAGTAAAGTATGCTTTAGTTAGAGAGTAAATAAGATATAATGGGAATTAAAAGTACTTTGAACTTCCTGGAATAAAACAAACATAAATTTGATGCTCTAATTCAAATTCTTCTTTACATGACTATACCTACTGCTATGACGTAATCATGGCTGCTCCTTCGTTTGGTGTAACTTCACCATTTTTTCTGTTTTACAGAGATTTCTTTCATGTGTTTTTTCGCTCTCATGTTCTTAGCTTTGACAAACTATTTTTTTTAAACCTTTGATAGCGATCCGGAAGAACACACATTCGCTCACATTGTACTTTAGTTAGTCTATTTTCTCACTGGTTAATTTCTTCAAAAACTTCAACTTTATCCCGTTTGTCGTTGGTCCAGACTAGGCATGCAACAATTCAAAGCTAGGGCTCGCTGATCGGCAGCAAGTCCTAGCTTGGGATTGTTGCATGCCTAGTCACTTGTGATCTTCTCTAGTTCTTGCGGTGAAAAACCGGTCAAGTAGACGAATATTTTCTTTGGAGATGGGTAATAATTTTAAGATAAATTGTATTGTTAATGCAACTATGTGAAAATATACGAATATTTTCTTTTCTTCATTTCAGTTTTTAAGTTTTTCATTTTCTTTTACAGTTATTTGTATTGACTTGATAAGGACAGTAATAGATTGACTACCAATGATGTAAAAAGAAAGGTAAATTATTTTCGTTTTTCGGGCATGGGTGGATAGAACTCGTTAAGTAACCTAGAAAAAAGTCAATTTAGGAATTTTAAAAGACATTGTTGGACGAAAAATAGTAAAAAACAGTGATTTTTTTAAAATGGATGAAAATCAGTGAAATTTCCAAAAAATAGCCAATTTCTGCACTTTGATGTACTTTTAAAATTCCAGAACAGTTTTTTCTAATCTTACATGTGAAACTACATATAAGAAAATAAATTTCAAAGTTTTTAAATTCAAAATACCTTCAGAATTAATGGAACACGATGCTTATTGCAAATCTTTTCAGATTTTTTGGTTGAGAGATAAAGCATTTTTACCTTTCATTTTAACCATCATACTTTGTGGGGAAAAAATTAAGGATCGATTTTAGAAAATGCTACAGTGTACGGTCACATACTGTATAAGTGAAATTAGGGCTAAAGCACCACATATCCATCTGAAGCTAAAAGGTCGTAATTCATAGGCGGTGGAGCCTCTTCAAACTTAGTGAGACAACAGTTTTTTTTCGCTTGAAAGTAGTATGAATTTAAGAAAAATTCTTATCCTAATAGTATAGAATGATTTTTTGCAGGTTATCTCAAATTTGAAAGATAAAATAGGTCCACGGTTATTGTGTTGACTAAGATATACTTCATTCATGTTTTATTTTTTTAAATACTTTTTGAAAACTCAGAAGTCTTCAGCCAGAGAAAAATGTATTTTTTTTGTCGAAACCTACTGAGATTGAGTCTTGTAGGGTTAAAATTTAGTGAGGCTCAAGCCTATCGAACCTCGTGGATTCTATGCTGTAATCCATCTATAGATTATTGCTGATCATTATAAGTGTATTCTCAATACGCTTCTTTTCTTTTTCTAGAATTATTTTTTTTAAACATATTTTTTTTCTTATGTCCGTTTCCTTAATGTGTATGTATCTTTAATGTGTTAAGAACAGTTTGATATCGGGATAAAACTTATACTGATGAAAGAGAAGAGCAAAAATGATTCTGTTAATTTAGCAAAAAAATAAGAAATCTTTCTGATTATATGTGGGACAAAATTACAAATTAATTTGATTAACTGATCTATTAGCATTATCGTTTATCATACACATAGGAAAATCGACACGATCTATTATTCAAAATGTTGTTTCTTATTTAATAGTATCAAAAATAATATCGATTTAGAGCAAGAAAAGTAACAAATAAAAATTTCATGTCTATATATATCTATATAACAAACAAGAAAAACAAACGATTAGTCTATTAAAACAAGAAAATGATATTGTATATCCGTAGAGAGATAATTAAATTAAATTAACTAAAAGTTTTTACAATATGAACAATTTGTTTCACTTTTCACTTTACAGAAACTTTTATTTCATTATAAAGAAGAAAACAATAGAAAAGAACATTATTTTAAATTATTAAATAGTGTATAAATATCATAATTCTGTTCGTTGAGAAAATAAGAGTATGGTCTGTGATGTACTAGAATAATTTGATGAACTCGATAAACGATTATTTGATAATTCACCACAATAAGGTTCAATTAAAGATAAATGATGTGCAGCTATAGCCTCGATAAATGTGTTAGTTATTGGAACAGGAGATTGTATTGATATTGGAAAATCAATATCAATCTAAATAAAATCGATAATTAATATAAAATAATGTAGTTAAACAACTAACTCTATATCAATACCATTGACGTTTGTTCTCTCATAATTGTTGACGTTTGTCCTGATAATGAATTTCTTAAAATTGAATTTTGAATATCTTCGAAAGCTGGATTAATTGTACCTAAAATAGAAAGACAAATCTAACATTCTTTTTGTATACTTTAAATGAATCTTATTTTGCCTTCTTTATGGTTGATAAAATTTTCCATAATTGGCATTGTTATAGAACTCTAAAAGCGTAGAGTAAAATCATATGTCTATTTTTAGTGGTCAAATATAGTATCTTACCAATCGATTGTAAATCATAGTTTCTGTTTTTGGATTTGTATAAGAATGATGTAAACGCTCTCTGACAGACTTTTTTATTGAATAACTAAAAATAGAAAATTAGAATGAATAAATATTTATTTGTGTACAGTTTTTATCCGAAAAGTTAACGGTTCACATTTTTCCTTTAACAAAAAAAAAAATTGTTCTCACTGTTTTGTTAACGGTTACGGAAATGTGAACGGGTTTTTAGTAAAAGGAAAATAAGTCTAGAAATATACTGATATGTTAACGGTAATTAACTGAGTGAGAAAGAAATTCTGTGAAACACAGAAGGACTTTCACAACAAGAGTGATTAAATGGCACGTTTTTACTCAAAAAGTCAAAACTTATACATATAAATGCACAAAATAGAACAAAAAGTTAATCTTGAGATAAAGCATTTGGTTTTGTGAATTAAATACGGCAAACCACAGTCAGGAAATTTTCTGATCGAGAAACACCGATATGTAATTTTAGTATCAGCACTTATTTCTTCAGTTCGAAATTTAGTAACTGAATTTTATTTAATGAATAAGTCAAAATGATCTTTGTTTAAGAAAGTACTTTCATAATTTCATAATCTACGCGTCATGTTTAATTTTTGTTGAGTGAAACAAAAATGATGTAAAACGCAGAAGGACTACATGTGTATCTGTACAATGACCATCATGACTGGTATGACATGATGTGAACGGACTGTTAAGGGTACCCCCGTCTTTTTTCACTATGTTGCCAAAAGCGGAGCACACGTCCGTTTGAGCTCCAATTTATAGCAGAGATAGAACATCGAAAAAGAAAATCGATATATTTTTGCCCGGAATTTTCTGAGAGGTTCTTATATGGGTTTTCTGGAAAACTTCAGTTTTCATCAGGTCACATTACGACCCCTCGAAAAAATGGTCCGATCGACCTCAAATTTTTACCACCGATACTTAAGATCCTATCTCAGAATGCAATTTTTTTTTCAAAAAACATGCTTTCCTTCTCGGGATATACGAAAAATGATGAAAATCACGCAAAAAAAGTCAGATTTTTTTCAGTTTTTTTGCGTGATTTTCATCATTTTTCGTATATCCCGAGAAGGAAAGCATGTTTTTTGA